TTTTTTGTGTGTGGTTTTTTACCTTTAATAACTTGCATGTGTTTTGTGAAGGTCAGAGACAGCGTTCCACAGAGCGGCCAGCAGGTGTTGCTGTCAGTGAGACGAGACCCGTCCTGTTTCTCTGGATCTGAAGGCAGAAAGCTTGCGTTACCTCAGACAGCTTCTTATGACCTGACTACAGCCAGACCTCCAAACATGGTTAGTTATGAAACATCATCATCAATCCAGTACTATTATGATTAGAGAGAGATAAAAAAAAAAAGGTTTTTATAACCAGTAATAACTATTTGTTGATCAAAGTCGGCATGAAATGGAATTTGCGATAGTCTTTTCTTTCCTATTGTGATGTATATCCAAGTGATATGGCTTCTCGAACAAGAAAAAATGTAGGGCGGGGCTAGGGTTGGGCCGATAGACGATGCCATCGTCCATCGCCGATGGCTGACAGCCATCACGATGTTAAGCTGACATCGTGATTCCTCCCACCCCCTGTTTGGAAAGGAAATGAAGTGTACTACGGAACCCCTAAAGCAGGGATCCTCAAATCTGGCCCACGAGATCCACTTTCCTGCAGAGTTTAGCTTTAACCCTAATCAAACACACCTGAGCATGCTAATCAATGTCTTCAGGATCATTAGAAAATCACAGGTAGGTGAGTTTGATCAGGGTTGGAGCTAAACTCTGCAGCGCATTGGCCCTCCAGGGCAAGATTTGAGGAACCCTGCCTTAAAGGGAATAAATAGCCTACGAGATGGGAGGATAAAAAAAAATATTTCAATACTTTTTCTCGCAATTATATCATTGGGTAAGTAGAGGCGACTGTATATAAATTGCGGGCATCAGGGAGCCGCTATTGAAACTGCTTTCGATTGCACGCTCTCATTTTACTTTCACTTTCACTTTTGAGATTCGCAATCACAAGGACTCTATACTATGGAGCGGCAGTACTTACCACACATTTGACAAGATTAGATGTTTGTCATTGGTGCTCAGGATCTGCAAATCATTCGCCATCGTCCTATCAGACATTTCTCCTTACTCTGTGTATGTGGTAAGTGAACTTTCAGTACTGTAATGCAACAGGCTACCGCTAGCAAGCGGCTAACCTTTTAATGGCTCTATAACGCGTTATTTGTTTCACGCTTCGGGCGCACCCCTAACCCCGCCCCGCCCCCGATTTCATCGTCCATCACGATGTTTCACTGCAGACATCGCCCAACCCTAGGCGGGGCTTGATTTTGTCCATGGTGAATTGATTGGTTTGCTATTGGTGGATCTCATGTGAGTGACAGGTTGATCCCACCCTCACCCCAGTAAACCTGTCATCAGAGAAGAGATGTCACTGAAGAGTTATTTTGATTGAAGAATACGAGAGCACATGAAAAAAAAAAGATGTACGGATAAATCATTTATAATAAACAGTGCAGTATTTCAAGAATTTTCCATTTTGATTTCATGGTGACTTTAAGTATCCCACAACCAATATGCAGAATGATTTTTAATTAATTTAATAAAATATAATAAAAAAATGTAATGTTAATAATAATAATGTTAAAATTAATATAGTATAATATATTATTCATATTATTATTCTCACCAATGTAGATTGAGGGCTTAATTAAATTTTTATTTCCCAGAGATCATTGCACCAAGGAGCCAGTCCTCATAGGAGGTTGATGCACCAGCGGGTCGGCGTTCCCGTTCGCGCTCCTCAACACCCTCCACGTGTCGGCATCTGCCTCCCCGACCCATCCACCACTGGGACGACGTCCCAAAATTCAGCCCCCCCTGCACGGGTCCAAAACGTGAGCAACCAGCCTTCACCTCCTCCCCAGCGGAGCGGCCTGGACCCTGGAGCCTTGAGTGGCCTGCAGGAGCAGATCCAGCTGTTGGGCTCCGAGCTGAGAAGTTTGGGACTGGCATTGAGGATAATGGTGGACCATCAAGGTCGACTGGAGAGAGAACAAGCCCAGCAGACCCAAGTCCAGAAGCAGATCCTCGGCACCCTGCAGAATCTCTCATCCAAATTTGAGCCTCTGCAGTCTACATCTGCGCCAACGTTACCAGCGTCTTGTTCCCTGGCCTCCTCTGCACCCTTCGGCCAGACTGCGACCGGTCAGGGTGCTTACGCTCAGTGCAGCCAAGCCCAGATGCGATACAACGAGATCCATGATTCCGGTCTGGAGAGCATTGAGGTGTTTTCTCTGGACCAGCTCAGCCCACCTACCATGAATGGGTTTCAGCAGTGCCCGACCTCCGGCGGGCCCCCGTTCACCCACGCACAAGCGCGCACGCCGACTTTCACGCAAACATTCGCGCCCAGCCCACTCCAGTACACTCAGCCGCACACAGACTCCTTTACGGGGATGGATAATAAATCAGTAGACATGCCCTCCACCAGTGCAGGTGGGTCATTCCAGGCTTGCAGCCCCCCTAACCAGTCCTCTAGTCTTCCGGTTTCACCCCACGAGCCCGAGCTGAACATCATTAAGGTGGAGAACGTCTGAGAAATGGCTAAAATCTGGACTTCACTGTATTTTATTGCACACAACTGTTTTAGCTTCCCAGAGAAACTCATACCAGGAAACTTATACTAAGTAAAAAGGTTTCCCCTGCTTTCTGTTTTGTTTAATTGTATACAGTAATTTTGCCTTTTTATAGGAAAAGAAAATAAATATCAGTAGAAATGGTTTGTCCTGTTATTTTTGCATTTTTTAATTTCTGTTGATTTTAGCACAGTATCAATAGAAATGTGTAGTAAAATACTCATTGGTTAGGGAAATGAAAACCTGAAAACGGCAATAGTTCGTTGGATTATTTTTTTTTTTTAGATGGTCGATTTATAATGTTTTAAGAATGAAATAAGAATGAAATGCCTGTTTTAGAAACAAATATTTTATCATTAATGGTAAAAGGAATATATAAAAAAAATGCTTAGAACAAAAAAAAAGCATTAAAATAAGTATAAATAAGTCTGACCATAAATGGTCATTGTGTATTTTTTTTTACAAAATAACTGTAATAAATGTATGGGTTTTTTTTTTTCAATCAACAAAATTTTAAATAATGAGTGGGTATATGAAAAATAAAAAATTCCAAACCGTGTTTTTGCCCAAATCACTACAGTAAGCCAATAAGAAGTATTTGTGTTTTAGAGCTGTCGGGACAGATTTCGCGACACTGCATACTTCCATCATTCCTCTGCGCGTGTAACATATTTGTAAATGAAGAAAATATGGTCAGGCTTCTGCTACATGTTGTGGAAGGAGTCATAGCAAATATACAGAGTTCTGGCATGAAACTCTAGATGGCGCAGTCCGATAGGTCTAACTCAATCTGACCTAATGACATCATTATCACATGGCACAGCTGATTGGTTCTCTCCTGTATCGGTAGCCAATGAGCTCGCTGCTCAACATTCAAATATATGACTAGTGCTTGCCGTAGCAGTGCAGCTTGCTTCAGAAACCCTCCACCTTCCCCAGCTCCACCTGTATAGATCTGCTACGAGGTGATAATGTATGCTATATAGGGGTTATTTCATGTATGTTATATTTGCAGCAGCAATATTTCTTACATGCTCACAGCAGCATGTTGTGGATGTATTGGCAGTAGCAAGTCTCGGTACTTGCTCTGCTGCAGCAGCAGCAGCGAAGCAGATCTATTCCGCTAAGACCAAATACATTAACACTGTCATGTACATTACCATGCCAATCCCTCCGAGAGTTGTCATGACAGAACATCCTTTAGCTTGAGCATCACATTTGCCGTGTATTGACACAATGCCTGGTAATTTCTACTATGGTGTATTTGCCTATAAATTGACTGCTCACCAAGTTATAGTAGTTTCTATCGTTTCTCATGAAAAAGAGTTGTGAAATGTACGGACACATTGAACAAATGACAGATGAATGAACAAAAGGAAATGAGTGACAGCTGTTTTTGTTGCATTGTCTATATACTTTATTTCATTAAGAAAACAACATCTGTTTTCTGACAGAATTATTGAAGAGGAAATAACAAAATATAAAAAATATTAACGTGGAACTGATTAATTCAAAGCACTTTTTCAGTAAAAACCATTATAATTGGGTGCTTTCTTGAATAGAGCACAGTTCAGGTAACTTCTTGTTCCAGTGCTTTTCAAAGTGAACACAGTTTCACACCAGAGATGAGGCTGATATTTTCTCGACTTGACAGCAGTGACTTTAAACTTCTCATATGGAGGAATCAGCACCTCTTTCTCATGAGGATACTTAGAATATTTTGCCACATCAGCTCCTTCACAAGTGTAGATTTCAAAACAAGATTTAGATCCAAAACCTCGTGCAATGTTATAATCAAGGGAGGATGAAGCAAATGAGCCAAAACGAACCTCTTTGTTCAGAACATCCTTATTAAATTCAACATTTGTACCACGATAAGTAAACCTGCATCCATACTGTGTTTTCTTCAGAATCTGTATCGCTTCTGTTAACAAAAAGTAAAGGGAATACCATTTGTAGGTCTTGTGATTGTACTGTTTTTTACCATAACGATTGTCAGGATTGAAATGCTGATATACGTTATTATCACTGTACACATAAATGGCGATTAAATGATTCCTTTTCAAGTAACCTTTTGGGAACTTGACAAACATTGCACCCACTTGCCAACCAATTTTAAATTGCGGTGAGTTATTGATTTCTTTCATTAGATATTTTGTCTTCACCAGATGTGCCATTTTCGATGTACAGCCCTTATATTGGTCATCAACAGAATTCAGTGCCATATCCAATGGATATCCTGCACCAGCAGCTCTGTGATCCTGTAGCAACAGGAATCATAATGATCAATCATCAGTATTAATGTCTGTAATATTCATACTAGAACACAAGCTTACCTGTCCTAGAGCAGCTAAAATGAGCAGAAGAGCTTCAATGAGCAGCAGCATCTTGATTCAGTCGAATCCCTCAGATGATCTAGTAGATCTAGAGAAGAACAGATGTTGAAAGACAACCAGAAACACAAAAGTATTACACAAATACTAAATCTATTACTCCAGTAGGAATATGTTGCACAATCATTTTCTTAATGAATTCCTTACACAAGACAATTTGTGCAACTAGTATTTTCTGCAAATTAGCAGAAATGATAAGTTATTAACCTTTATTATATTAACTTACCTGAGAATATTGTTGTCTCTTTTTGTCAGATTCAGTTTTCTTTTCGTTAATTTCGCTCACAATAAAATCGCTCACAGACAAATGACAATGACTCAAGAGATGAAGAAGGTGGCTTTTTATATCGCTGATAAAATAAGATAGCTTTCTCTGGTTTGTGTGGTTTCAAACTGGACAGGTGAACCTTTCAACCCGATTTCTTGCGAATTCATAGTAATTGTATGCAATGGCGAATTCGCATGAAAACGTGCAATCTAGAGAAGTAAACAGGATGTCCCATCTCTAACCACAAGCCTAACTCTGAGCTCAAATGAAATTAACAAAGGAAAGTTTTTGTATTAAGCAGCGTGTATGATTGCATACGAGAACAATCATACAACATCAAAGATGAAAAGGGGTTTTCAAGCATCAAAAAATAAAAGAGTAATACAGCTTTACATTTTTTTCCTGTTTATTAGAATCATTTTCATACATTTAGGCTGATTTCTTCCTGCTCTCTTGATCATACAGATGCAGAAGGTTTGGAAAACATATGTGACCCTGGAACACAAAACCAGTCTTAAGTCGCTGGGGTATATTTGTAGCAATAGCCAAAAATAGATTGTATGGGTCAAAATTATTGATTTTTCTTTTATGCCAAAAATCATTAGGATATAAAGTAAAGATCATGTTCCATGAAGATATTTTGTAAATTTCCTACTATAAATATATTAAAACTTAATTTTTGATTAGTAATATGCATTGCTAAGAACTTCATTCGGACAACTTTAAAGGCGATTTTCTCAATATTTAGATTTTTTTGCACCCTCAGATTCCAGATTTTCAAATAGTTGTATCTCGGCCAAATATTGTCCTATCCTAACAAACCATACACCAATGGAAAGCTTATTTGTTCAGTTTTCAGATGATGTGTAAATCTCAATTTCGAGAAAATGACCCTTATGACTGGTTTTGTGGTCCAGGGTCACATATCTTGTTTTTAAAACCAAGACTTGCTGTCAAAACCAGAAGAGATCAGAAAGATCTCTGGTGTGACACTGTGTTCATGTTAGAAAGAAGTGACCAGAACTGTGCAGGTCATTAAAAAATATGAAATGTATGTTGTAATCTTCAGATGAAATATACTACTTTTTTTCCTTTGATCAGCACTCATCTGTTTTCAAAAGATAACAATGTTGAAATTAAAGTCATTGCTTTGGTTGCCAAGACTCTTGATCAAGCCTACTGCCAAAGTTTCCTATCATTTCTGTTCATGCTGAGAAAGCCTTTCTCCATTGGACTGAACATTTTGGCCACCTGAGCAAAAACATCCATTATACCAAAATTACATAATGCGGTTTTAACTTCCAACTCGTTTCTCCCATCATTTGACACATTGCAGTTTAGAAGCGTAATTCGTTGTGAATAGGCTTGCTGGGTTTAAGGCATTTATTAATTTACGTTAATGTTAACTTGTAATTATACACTGTAAAAATTATTTTTGGAGTGTTTTACAAGAAGATATTATTTCAGTCATTCTACTTCAAAATTTCACATTTAATTCAGTATGTTACTTGCCGTTTCTTTGTAACTAACTGAAATTTACTAGCAAGTTCTGAGGGGAAATAGTTTCTATGCCAGTTTTTTCGGTGTTGGCCTACTATCCTTAATTGTTCATTCACCTTCATTCATAATAATTAATTTCAAACTGAAATATTAAAATGTATTAGTATATGTATTAATTAAAATTATTAACATTAACCAAGATTAAGAAATGCTGAAAAAAGTGTTATCTTTATTTCACTAAGTAATGTTAACATATAGAACATTGTTGCATTAAAATAACTGTTTCAATAGCCTATAAAGTTCTACATTCTAAATTAGCCAGGAGTCTGATTATTCAGTCTAGCTTCAGTTGTCAACAAAAGAGATGCATGTAAAAATCCATGTTATCCTAACAATAAATAAATAAATTCTGAATGTCTTGGAAATATATATTTTATGCTGCAGTTCACTCAAAAAGTCATTTAGCGGTTATCACACTACTGCTAACAATTACGTAAATCTAAAAAAGCAATTCCCAAACTTGTTCAGTGATGTGATACAAAAAGATTTAAGTATAAATGAAGACAAGAATTAGAGACACACATTTATTCACTTTAAGGACACCGAATTGAGTCACTTAAAATAACTTTATTTCATCATGTTAAAATGATACAGATTGTTTTCTGAAAAATAATTATTCGGGGGAAAAAAAGTGATATCAATTTGTATGGAACTGATGATTAAATCAAGTCAATTCAGAACACCTTTTTTTCAATGCAACACATGTTTTTACTGTTTCTTGAACAGAGCACAGTTCATGTAACTTGTTCTTCCAGAGCTTTTCAAAGTGAAAACGGTGTCACACCAGAGATCTTTATAATATTGTTTTGTCCTGACAGCAGTGACTCTAAACTTCTCATATGGAGGAATCAGCACCTCTTTTATGTAAGGATACTGAGAATATTTTGTCAGCTCAGCACTTTCACAAGTTATGATTTCAAAACAAGATTTAGTTCCAAAACCTTGCGTTACTTTAAGATTGAGAGAGGAAGACGTAAATGAGCCGAAACGAATCTCTTTGTTCAGAACATACTTATCAAAATTAGCTGTAGTACCACGATACGTTAAATAGCATTTATTTTGTGTTTTCTTCAGAATCTGTATCGCTTCCGTTAACAGAAAGTGAAGTGAATACCATGAGAATGTCTTGTGTTTGTACTGTTTTCTACCGTAACGAGTGTCATCGTTAAACTGACGATATATATATTTACCGGTGTACACATGAAGAGCGACTAAATGATTCCTTGTTAAATGATCTTTTGGAAACTTGACAAACTTTTCACTGTTTTGCCAATAATATTTGAATTTAGCTGAGTTTTTCATTTCCTTCTCTAGATATTTTGTCTTCACCAGATGTGCCATTTTCCCCTTACAGCTGATATATTGGTCATCAACTGAATTCGGTGCCATATCCAGTGGAAATATCTGTTCTGAAACAGCAGCAGCTCTGTGATCCTGCAGCAACAGGAATCATAATGATCAATCATCAGTATTCATGTCTGTAATATTCATACTAGAACACAAGCTTACCTGTCCTAGAGCAGCTAAAATGAGCAGAAGAGCTTCAATGATCAGCAGCATCTTGATTCAGTCGAATCTCTCAGATGATCTAGTAGATCTAGTGAAGAGCAAATGCTGAAAGACAAGAAACACAGCAGCCTTTTACAAATACTAAATAAAATGTTTAAATTTGTATTGGTATATTCTGACATATAGCAGAACTGTTTGAAATAATGACTTAAGTCCGTGGTGTTCACTAATGGAAGTGTAATATTACCTGAGAATATTGTTGTCTCTTTTTGTCAGATTCTGTTGTCTTTTTTTTTGTTGTTGTTACTTTTCAGGATCGCAGGAACAATGATGAGAGGAGAAGATCAGAAAAGTAAGTCGCTCACAGCCAGACGACAATGACTCTTCAAACCATATGAGGAAAGTGGCTTTTTATAATGCTGATAATGTGTGTGTTTTAAGAAATAATAGCTGAAGTGTATATTGTAGCAATCTGATTTCATAATAATTGGTGCAATGGTGAATTTGCATGAATTTGTTGATGAAATAGATAACCTAAGCCTGAGTTCAAAAGGAAAAAAAAAACAGGGTTTTTGTATATCAGCATGCATCATTGCATAAACATTATATACATATATATCAACATGTTTTATAGATTCTTAAAAATATGCATTATAGGATTCATTAAATTTATCAAAAGTGACAGTAAAGGCATTTACACTGCACAGAAGATTTCTATTTCAAATACATGTAGTTCTTTTGACCTTTCTATTCGTCAAAGAATCCAGGAAGAATCCACAAAAATATAAAGCAGCACAGCTATTTACAACATTGATAATAATAATTAAATGTTTCTTGAGCAGCAAATCAGCATATTAGAATGATTTCTGATCATGTGACACCGAAGACTGGAGTAATGATGCTGAAAATTCTGCTTTGTATCACGAGAATAAATTTCATTTTAAAATATACTCAAATAGAAAACAGTTATTATAAATTGTGATAATATTTCATTAAATTACGTTTTTTTATTGTATTGTGGATCAAATAAATGCAGACTTGGTGAGCAGAAGAGGTTGAAAAGGTACAGAAAGGTCATTTGGATAGTATTTATGTGAACACTCACTCAGATTCTTAAGTAATCACAAAAAGAATGCTTGCAAAACGTGCAAAGGTGCAGATCTGAATGAAGTGACATTAAAAATGATTTAAAATTCTTTAGAATTTATGTGGTAATCTTCCAGCAGCACGCATCTGTTTTCAACAGATAGCAATGTCGAAATTAAGGTAATTTGCTGTAGTTCCTAAAACTTGACTTTTGATCAAGTCCAGCACACAGATAAACGCCACTCAAATTGTCTTCAGAAAACATTACAATTTTGTTTGAATTATATTTTGATCAGCTCTTGGCACAGTGATGGATCAGTTTGATATTTTTGGCTCTACTGACTGCACACAGTTTTTAGGTTATAAGGGTTCAAGGTTAGACCTATGAATAGTAAGTAATCCAGCTCATTAATAATCTGAGCCAAACCTCAAAGTAAGTGCCTAGGAATACATAGAGCAGGGGTCCTTGACTCTGGACCTCGAGATCCACTTTCCTCCAGAGTTTAGCTCCAACCCTAAATCAAACCTGAACAAGCTAATCAAGGTCTTCAGGATCACTACAGAGTTGCAGCTAGGTGTATTTAATCCAGTTTGGAGCTAAAATCTGCAGGAAAGGGGATCTGAAGGTAAATCCTGTATGGAGTATAAATGTAAAAAGATATTGGATGTAATGAGATGTACAGTACTGTGCAAAAGTCTTAGGCCATTAGTATTTTCACCAACAAAAGATATGGATTTAATCTTTTTCTGTACTGTGTCAGTAGGAAACATCAGTTTACATTTCCAAACATTCCTTTTGCCATTAATTGTAATAATGCAGTGAGATTTTTGATTGCACAAGGAGTCTGACAACAGCCAGTGCTCCACACAGAGATCTGTGTAAAATAATGTCATAAATAGATTTTATTTACCAATTAACTTCTATTAACTAAATCAAACCAACATTTGGAGTGGCCACCCTTTTCGTTTAAAGCAGCTTTTGCCCTAGGTGTACTTGCGCATAGTTTTTCAGGTAGCTTTGCAGGTAGGTTTCTTCAGGTGTCTTGGAGACGTTGACACTGTTCTTCTGGATTTAGTCTGGATGTAGCGTAAGGTCCAGTGAGAAGTGACAAATGCGGAGAGAGCAAAACAAAACACTGGTCATGAATTAGAAGTATAAAATGAGGATTTGTAAAGAAAAATGTCGAAGGGTTTTGATATAAGCCAAGAGGAGACTGGTTTTCCTTTGCTAAAGTAAGGAAACTTTGCTTCCTTTGCTCCTGTAAACAAACGTTAGTTCTCGCGAGACTAGCCTATTCTCACCGGACCCTACACTATGCCTACATCCTACGTCATTAGCCGGAAACGGAACACGCGTACAACAGTTAGCGGAAGCTACAGATTACTGTTTATGAAATTTTAAGTTTTATTTTTTCTTACAAAAACACATTGATTCGCTACAGGAGGCCTTTATTCACCCCCAGAGCCACGTGGAGCACTTTTTATGATGGATAGATGCACTTTATTGGACTTCTTTTGGACTAATAAAAAAAAAAACCACCCACTCACTGCCATTATAAATCTTGGAAGAGACAGGACATTTAATAATTTAGAACTCCGATTGGATTCGTCTGAAAGAAGAAAGTCATATACACCTAGGATGGCTTGAGGGTGAGTAAATCATGGGCTAATTTTCATTTTTGGGTGAACTATCCCTTTAAGGGCACAAAATCTGAACTGTATCTAAGAAAGACATTTTTGTAAATCAATCAGTCAATAAAGTTATTGTTTTCATTGTTTTGACTCATGTAACAATGTATTCTAATAAATAAGCAACCAAGATTTTAAATACCAGTTAAATAAAATTTCACAATTCTCAATCCCTATTTTGATAGAAAAAAAGTTAACTAAATATAACTAGATAATACATATAATATAAATGTAAAGTTCAAACAAATTAAAAGCAATAGCACATATAAATTGCAATACAACAAAGACTCAAATAAGATAAACAGTGCTGGAATTTTTTCAGGTTGGTCTAACGGTAGGTAGGATGCAGCAATTGAATGATCAAATGTAAAATAACATTGCATAGTCTTCACGTTATAAATTAAGTATAGATTAATGCTTATGAAAGCAAAAAGTTATTCAACAGCATTTTGTGTTTTGTTGTGATTGACATTATTGACACAGACAGCAGCAGGTTTATTAGGCTGCTGTAATTTTAAGACCGAATGGACGGATAAGTGCAAGAAGACACGAAAGAAAACTAATCTCAGTATGGACACGGATTTATGGATGTATACTTTCGCCTATCACCGCACTGTGTCCGCTGACTGACCACACATATTTTCTGAAACGATGCGTGGCAGATTGGAGAAAGTAGAGCAGAAGTAGTAGTTTACATAGTTTGCCGTACTAAAAATCATATTGTTAAACTTAAATCCATTTATTTTTATGTCAAACATTTCTTGGAAAGATTAAAGGTGCATTATGAAACCTAGCGGTTGAAATGGGTACCACAGTCCAAATTCAAAATATTGTTCCTCCCGCTCTTCAGCCGCAAGGCTCCCGCGGGTTGTCAGATTGAGGACACAAATGCAACAGGAATAAGCATTGACAATGGAAGGCGACGAGCCTAAGGATGATTATTCACAGGGCAACTTTTGGCAATGTTGCCATCAATGGGCAACCAGGTGAAACACAAGGCCCACGACCGATCTAATGTATCCAGATATACATTTGTTACCCATTCTCAATGAGAAAGTACCCAAGCAACATTGCTCAAAAAAAGTTGATGAGTTGATTTATCCATGTTTTAATATGTCTCTGGTTATATGGCTTTTTGATGGATGATGAGGCTTTTTAGGTCAAGTAGAATCTGCGATCTCTGACCCAGTTTGTTTGCTGGCTTCCATGGCTGCAATACGCTGTGTTTTCCGCCAAACTGGCAATCCAGGGTGTCGAAATACTATTGGGTAAATTAGAAGAGGGCGGAATCACACAGACCAAAACAAAAACAGACATTCCGACACAGAACCCACATTTCAAAGTAGAATAACTGGCTGTAGCATTGTTTTTCAGAGAAACAAGTATGTGAACTTAGCATGTTTCCTAAATATCTGCAAACATATGATGGTATTTTTATGCTTTAGTACAAAAAATTACATAAAGCTTGCATAAAGATAGTTTCAGATGGAAGTGGAAACTTTAATATTGAGGATTTTAAATAAAAATGTTTATTTCATGTATTTTGTGTGTTAAAGATAAACGAACTTAACAAAAAGTATAATATACAAATAAATAAAAAAATATCTTGACCAAAATGGAGTAAGTAGAAACCATTGTTTATTACTCCTACATTTTTCATAGTTTGAACATTTACGTTCATTCAGTCTCTCATTAACTTTATAAATTATTCACCCATTAAGGATCTCAAACAGAATTCAGCCATTCAACAATATCAGCAGCTCCTAAACAAATTATTCATTTAACAAAAGTCAAAGAATAGGTAACTTTAGAACATATTTAGAATATCATTACCGAGTTCAAATGTGTTACTACAAAGTTAACTTTCATTCTGTATTTAGCTTGCTGTGAGGCATCTATATATAGCTGAAGTGTGATGTTGATGCATCCAGCTCATGTAAACCAGTTTAGCTCATCGAATAATGCAACACGTCTGAAAGTCTGGTCTGTTTGTAGTTTCACAACAAGCACAAATTGTCAGTCTATCTGGGTATTAGTGCCTTATTAAAAAATGTATATTTCAAAAGTTGTAAGTTGTTCACTGAATGTACACTGAGAAAAACACAATTACAGTTTTTATAAAAAAAGACTACAACAAGCCCATTTAACCAAATACTGTTTATTGAACATTTTTAGCCAGCAGTGGTGAACATTAGCATGCTAATACTACTACTACTACTACTACTAATAATAATAATAAAAGAATGATTTTGTATGGAATGAAAGTGTGTTCATATAGTTTTACTTTTAAGTAAACAGAATAAACAAATGCTTTTAAATATTTGATATTGCCAATATGTATTATGCTGCATTGCCATAAAAGATTATTGACTATAGCAAACCCCGACAATGTTGTTCAGTAATGTGATGCAACAAGAAAAAAATAAAGAAAAAATAAAAATAAAATAAAACCACTCTGAGGCCACTAAAATCAGTTAATAACATTATTTCATTGTGCTGAAAGTATATTTTCTGACAAAGAAATATTGAACTACACTGAGAGGAAAAAAAATTATATTGATTTTTGTGGAATCAATATAAAATCACTTAGTTCAGCTCAGAGCAAAACATAATACTTTTGTATGGTCTCGGTTGGTTTCTTGAATAGAGCACAGTTCAGGTCACTTATATTTCCAGAGCTTTTCAAAGTGTACACAGTTTCACACCAAAGATCAGGCTGATCTGTCCTGTTTTTGACAGCAGTGACATTAAACACCTCATATGGAGGAATCAACACTTCTTGCTCACGAGAAAGCTTAGAATATTTAGTAATATTAGCACCTTCACACGTGTGGATTTCAAAACAAGATACATTTCCAAAAAACTTTGCTCTGTTTTGATTATAGGTGGAAGATGTAAACGAGCCAAAACGAACCTTATTGCTGAGAACATTAAGAGAACACTTACATTTTGTACCACGATAAGTATCATAGCATCTATTTTGTGTTCTCTTCAGAATCTGTATTGCATCTGTTAAAAGAAAATTAAGTGAATACCATTTATATGTCTCATTTGTGTAGTTTTGTTTACCATAACGAGTGTCATTATTGAAATCACGAAATACTTTATCACCAGTGTACACATAAATGGCGATTGAATGATTCCTTGTCAAGTTATTTTCTGGCTTCTTAAAGTTTGTTTCACCCTCTTGCCAAGCTACTTTAAAATTTGATCTAGAGATATTGAGTTCCTTCTTCAGATATATTGTTTCCACCAGATGTGCCATTTTCCTGGTGCATCCATCATATTGGTCATCAACTGAATTCGGTGCCATATCCAGTGGAAATATATGTCCGTCAACAGCTGTTCTGTGATCCTGCAGCAACATGAATCATAATGATCAATCATCAGCATTCATGTCTGTAATATTCATACTAGAACACAAGCTTACCTGTCCTAGAGCAGCTAAAATGAGAAGAAGAGCTTCAATGATCAGCAGCATCTTGATTCAGTCGAATCCCTCAGATGATCTAGTAGATCTAGTGAAGAGCAGATGCTGAAAGATAACCAGAGACACAACAGCGTTTACAAAATACAAAATCTATCACTCCAACAGGAATATGTTGTTATATGATCTGAACAGTAACTTTAACCTCAAATTACCTGAGTTATTTTTATTGATTTCAGGAACAATGATGAGAGAAGAACAGAAAAGTCAGTCGCTCAGAGCCAGATGACAATGACCCTTAAGAGATGAGGAGGTTGAAGTTGCTTTTTATATTGCTACTAATGTGTGTGTGCATGTGTTTTCTGAGGTATACCAGCTGAGGTGTGATCTTGACGCATTTGGCTCAACTAAACTGTTGAGCTCATCATAACTTGAAGCACTTGTGAAGGGCTGTGTGTGGTTTCACACTGGACAAACTGAAAGGCTAAAAAAAAAAGCTTTAGCTTTTTAAAGTTTAAGTATTTTACTCCATATCAGTCGTATCAGATTCTGAATTAAATTAAATTTTAATTAAATAAATATAAACGGACAACAGGTGAACCTGCAGAAGGATCATGATAAATAGTTATTGTTTAGACTCAATTTACAACTTGCTATCCATTCTGGAGTGATTTTTGACAAATGATTAATTTATTTTGTGGTTAAATTTTTTTTACATTTTTTTTATATTTGTCACTAGCAAATAACAAAATCACATAAAATGTGATTAGAATGTGATTTATGTCCCGAATTGTGGTGCAGAGATAACATGCAAACTTCATAATACATTCATAGAAAACTATGATCATATAATATTAAATTTGACCCTTTGAGGTCAAATATTCTCTGAAGCACCTCATTGTACTGACCATTTGCTGAAAAAAAAAAAAAAAAGTAAAAGCTTGAGGAAGACATTTTTGGTCCCCTTGAGGAAACAAGCTTCAAATCATACAGAATGAAATTTTTTGAAAATCTAAAAATGCCGGAAAGTTTCCAATTAGGGACAGATCTACAGTTTGTACAGTAGAAAAAACATTAGGCCTATGGAATGTCCCCATAAAACATGGAAACCCAATATGTGTGCAGGTGCGTGTGTGTGTGTGTGTTTCTAATCTTAGATTTTTGAGAATGTTGACAAATGTTTGAGATTAGAATGTGAAGTGCTGAGCTTCACATACTATGTCCAATCTTCAAAGTAAAAGTGAAAAATAGAGTTTTCTAAGAGCCCCTAGGAATGTACAGAGGATGAATGATGACTATGGTATTAAAAGGTTAAAATGAATCTCAGAGAATGGCCAGTAGATGGTGCTGTAACCACACTGCACAAGTGCACTCAGGGATTGATGTCAGTAAGTGTGTTTCAAACAAGGTGTCCAATCCTGTACATGCAAAGTTCAGCTCCAACCTACTGTAGATCAAACACAGCTGAATCAGCTACAATTAAGATCTTCAGGAGCATTTGATAATTACAGACAGCTGTGTTCGATCAGGGTTAAAGCTGAACTCTGCAGGCAGGAAGATCTCCAGGAATAGGACTAACAGCCCTGAATTATAGACTATCCAGTTTCTCTGTTTGGACAACAAAGAAATGGCTTTTAAATGAGGATGAATGTACCTGTATCACAGCACCAGTCATGCTTGTTTGCCAAAATCCTGAAACTTTGGGTCCTCATATTCAATTAGGCCTATTCAAGGCATTTTCCAGAAACAATAGCTGAGATGGTGTCGGATTTTGCCAGTTGGGTCATATCAAATGTATTTTCCTGCAGAAAATATGTCGGGACCCCCTCGGTAATAATCGTGTGCCGGGCCCCCTCTCCCTCGTTGACCCTTGGAATCGTCCTCACCTTCCCCCCGTTACAGCGCCCATGGAATCAGCACCTCTTTCTCCTCAGGATACTTTGAATATTTTATCAGATCAGCACCTTCACAAGTGTAAATTTCAAAACAAGATTAGATTTTAAAACCCTGTATTACCGTTCGATCAAGAGAGGAGAATGAAAATGAGCTCAAACGAACCTCAATGTCGCCACAAGAGGTCCCCAAATGGTACTTTGATGTCATACACCAATTTGGCACGCTTTTACGCCAGATACTCTGGCTGCCACAACCCAGCACTGAGAGGCCACTAACTCATGCAACCCCAGTGCTGGGACACACTCACTCATTCCTCTGGAAACCTATGGCAGACTCCACACAGAAAGGCTTCCTGGCTCAGCTGGGACTCAAACTAGAGGCATTCTTGCTGTCTTTGAGATGACAGTGTTACCGATTGAACACCGTGCTGTCCAAATTCTGAAGCCAATAATCTCTATAATTTATATAAAGACTTCCAAATATTTAAAATTATGCTTGTCTGTAATTTCTATTATAAATTATCTTTCCTATGTTAAGTAGGGATGCACCGATACCACTTTTTCCAGAGCGAGTCCAATAGTGAAACTTTTATTTCCGGTACTTTCTGATGCCAATACCTGTATTTTCATAGCATTTGTAATTTTTTTAAATATTGGGTACAGCAACCCCCCCCCCCCCCCCCTTTAGTGAACAGGTACTTCTTTCAGTTATTTTCACACTTATTTTTTTCCTTAAAATTGTATTGTACAAGCAAACTTTCACTGTTCATTTTATTGTTCTATGGTATTTCATCTTTAATTTAATAGCACATTACAGCAGCTCCATTGCAGTACTGTAATCACAAGACGTTTTCCTGTAATAATGCAGGGAACCAGTCGCTATACTTAAATCTTGTAACAGCAATGGACATATTTTCTCAAAAAGCCGCGTTTTTATCATCTGAAAGGTGCTGTGATATGGTATGCTGTGATGTATATTCCAAACTTTGGTTTGAAGTTACTGTAGGTGGGCACTTTGACTTTTGACTTTCTAAAATAAAGAAATTATGATCTGCTGATGTTGGTTACTTGCTGATGAAAAATAGAATCACCATGCCGTGGCCTGATCTCATGTAGTCTAATCTCTTATTTTTATTATAGGAAACAGCCTCAGCAAATTACCAAAATTATTTAAAATAAGACAAGCATTAAAAAAGGTAAAACAATAAGTTATTTCTTATTATTTGTTGATTTTTAATGAATATACTTTTTTTAGTTATGCCATGGTCTAAAATATTTTATCAAGTAGAAATTGGAGTCAAAAAAGTTGAGATTCAGTGCTTTAAAACTGTGGTTTCCAAAAGTTATAATAAAGACAATGACCTCTAGGTGGTGCTGTAACCACACTGAACAAATACACCCAGGTCAGAGCATTGCAAACATATGACTTTGCTTCCTGTATGACCTCCAGACCATACTGGGTGACTATATCACAAAGCTTTTATTTATTTTTTTTAATATATATATATTGTCTGAAGATCATTACCGGAACAATGATTGGTGAGTTTGAACATGTATGTTTTAACAACATCATTTAAAGTGGTTCCTACACCATTCACTTCAAAAGTAATGCATCTTTTGGTGTGATGTGAAGAAATTGCATTAAAAAAGGATGAATAACAGCAGTTGTGTGTTTCATTGTCTAGTGCCAAAATAAGTCAAGTTTAATTATTTCAAGTTTAATGATCTATTAATGATCAGACAATGAGCAGTAGGTGGTGCTGTTTTCACAGAACATCAAAGAGTTACGATGACCAGGCTTCACCTGTCAAGTCAAGTCACCTTTATTTATATAGCGCTTTTAACAATACAGATTGTGTCAAAGCAACTGTACAGCATTAATTAGGAAAATATTGTGTCAATAATGCAAAATGACAATAGTAAACACTCGATTTTCAGTTAAAGGCAGTTCATCATTGGATTCAGTGATGTCATAATCCAGCTCAGTTCAGTTTAAATAGTCTCTGTGCAATCAAGTCAACGATATCGCTGGAAATTAAGTGTCCCCAACTAAGCAAGCCAGAGGCGACAGCGGCAAGGAACCAAAACTCCATCGGTGACAGAATGGAGAAAAAACCTTGGGAGAAACTTTGCTCAGTCGGAGGGTCAGTTCTCCTCTGACCAGACGAAACCAGCAGTTCAATTCCAGGCTGCAGCAATGTCACATTGTGC